TTGGACATTCTTCTTGGGTTACTCAATTTTTTTTTAATAAGAAAGAAAACCCAATAGGTATTGGACATTTGTTCAACTCCTCTTGGATATTTAATCCCAACATTAGAATAAAACCCAACAGGTTATGTTTACTTGTCCAATTCTTCTTGGGTTACTTATACCCTTCATTAAAATTGTCAAATTTGTCTTGGATATTTATACTCTTGCATTAGATTGCAAACCCAAAAAAAGTATGACATTTACCTTCCCTAGTTGAATTCAAATTTATCTGCATAAGCATACTTTATTTAACATATTTAATACTTTAATTCTAACATTCCACACCTCATTCAGTGTACACTTTACAAATGATAGGAAATATATAAGCATTTTGTGCCTAAACTATTTGGCTTTTAAAGGATTTTATAACCATGTTTGCAAGATTTAAATTTAAATATTGGAACTTGGAGCAAGTCATTACAGGTAGAGCAAGATGCTGAAAACCATACTGATGTAAAGATCAAACCCTAGATAAAATATTTGCCTTCAGTTGCTCAGATTGTGTTGTATTACCGGTATATGGAAAATTATTTCTATAATCCTGTTTATAACAGATACATGTACAATGCATATTTTTCCTGTAATAATAAAAATACTTCTGAGATGTAAAAGAATGGATTTAATAGTCACCGATGTTAAAAGATATTACATGTATCTCATTAATCTGGTTTGGAAATCACAAACTTAGTTTTGAAGCCAATAAAACAGTGTTGCACCAGGAAACTCAGTTACAAGCACAATGAATGAATTTGTTGTATCAAAACTTTAAAATAATTGATGCACTATGTCCAAATCTTTTCGACAAATCGGGATAAAGATATTAAATCAAATAATCACTGTTATAAGTCTTAGAGCAAGAGAAAAGTCATTACAAGCCAAAATTTTACATATAAGGCTTGGGTCCTATATTACAATAAATGTCAAAATGGTTTTATTTTTGTTTCTGTTCTATACTTTCTTCTTCAGGGTCTTTCATGGCCTATACTGTATGATACCTCCATTGACCCTGCTCTTTTATATTGCCATATGTTTATCCAGTAGCAGTGGTTATGCTCAGGCAATCTTTAAATTATTCCTCATTTCATGCATCTCCTTCGGTTCTGCTTCTGTCCTTTTTATTCATTCTGCAATTAGATAAAGGCATTCTTTGCCGTATAAAACATGTTTTTCTTGACGACAGCAAGATCACCCTTTGTGTTGATCAAACCCAACCAAGAAGTAGAAGTATATTTCTTATTCAGAAATATGTATTGATAAGTAAAATAGAAAAAAAACAAAATTTTAGCAACTCTTTTTTGTTTCTTCTTTGTCTGACTGCATCTTCATCCTACCCCCCATCTGCCATAATTTTATCAAAATGGAATCATCATTCAACACACAAAACGATGTTGCATTAATTAAACAGTTTTTAGTTTCTGATTGTTAAGATAGGAGATTTTAAAAAGATTTTACACCTATTCCTTGCAAATTTTAGACTTTTAATGTAACACTATCAGTACATTAGGGGTCCATAATCTTCAAAAACATTTCTACACTTAATGATAAAGCTTTCACAGTAGTCTTATTTTTAGCCCAATGGTTCTGCTAAAGAAGATTTAAAATTGACCCAAACCTTACTATCTGCTTTGAAATTATATTGACAGGGACAGAGACACACTTGACACTCCATCCCCCCTTCCTGGGGTATGCTTTGCACAAAATTTAATTAAAATTGACTAAGCTGGATAGAAGTTGAAAATATGAAAAATTACAGTCAAACAGAATATGAATAACTTTCACCACATCAGACATGAAATAGTGATCCTCAAATAAAATACACCTACAAGACGAAGCTGTTTTATTCCTTTGAAGTGATATTAAGTATTGTTTCTTTTCCTGTATGCCACCTCTATTAGAACAAAATGTTATACACGTATTAACATAACCTGTGACCGAATAGTATTTACTTTACAATTAATTAAGTTCTCTGGAACCAACCCTCAGATGCCCTTTAAACAAATGATTCAAAACTGGCAAAGGTAAAGGGCATCTGAAGAATATAAAATAAAATGATAGTACAAACAAGCAAGCAGTGTGCATGAAAATGTAAGCAAACACTAGAAAAAATACTAAGGTACTTTCTCAAGCTCAACATGAATACTAAAGAGGTTTTTATGCCCCCGTAAACGAAGTTTCGGGGGCATATAGTTTTTGTCGTTTACGTCTGTCTCTCTGTCTGTCTCTCTGTTTGTCCGCAAAAACTTTAACCTTGCCCATAACTTTTGATTTAGTGGAGCTATGACTTTCATATTTCATATGTGTATTCCTTGTGACAAGACCTTTCTTTGGGTACCACCAAATTTGACCTCTTGACCTTGACCTTGGAGTTTGACCCACTTTTACATGAAAATTTTAAAATTTTACTTTGGCCATATCTTTTGAACAGTAGACACCAGGACATTTATACTTCATATATGTAACGTTTGTTGAAAGACCTTTCACTAGATACCAACAACCTTGACCTTTTGACCTTTACCTTGTAGATTTCCGTACTTGTAAAAAAAACTTTAACCTTGGCCATAACCTTTGAACGGTAAGGGATAGGGCTTTCATACTTCATATATGTAATCCTTGTGAGAAGACCCTTCATTGGATACCAAGAACTTTGACCCTTTGACCTTGACCTTTGAGATTGACCTACTTGAAGAAAGCAAAACTTGACCATAACTTTTAAAGAGTTAGGGCTAGTGCTTTCATACTTTACATATTTGATCCTTATGACAAGACCTTTCATTTGATAACAATAACTTTGACCCTTTGACCTTGACCTTGGAGTTTGACCTACTTTTTAAGAAATTGAACGTGGACCATAACTTCTGAACGGTTAGGGCTAGGACTTTCATGTTCTGCATAAGTATTTTATGTGGTGGCAAGACCTTTCATTTGATACTTATTACATTGACCTTTTGACCTTGACTTTGGAGATTTTTGTACTTATTAAAAACTTTAACATTAACTTACTTTCGAATTTCACAATTGTTTTCCAGTGAGAATATCCTACTTTTGGTACCAATTAATTAAACTTGCATTTAAGAAAAGCTTAATCTTTGCTATGTTGCCATACGGGGGCATCAGTGTTTTACAAACACATCTTGTATTTATCTGTATTGCACATACCAAAAGCTTTCCTGCAGTTGAAGGTTGGTTGCCTAGTAGTTATGTAGTATGTACAAGTTTACCCCTCTATCTCTTCTAATTTAAGAAGCGAAAATGTCTCTAAAAATCTTATGGTTGGCATGAAGTATTCCTGATCATTTTGCTGTTTACTTACAATTGTCCTTTTTCGGAGGGTCATCTTCTTCTGAGTGTGTTCTCTGCAATGTTCACAATTGAAGTTCCTGTTTGACCTGTTACATATTGAAAATCCTCAATTAACATGATTATGGTTTTAATTTCCATTGCAGTTATTGATAACTTTTATTAAAAAAAATCTAAACCAATTTATTATCATAATACTTAAGAAAATATTTATGAAATATCAATGGAAAAAAAGGAATCATTATCTCCAGTTATCTTAAAATCACAAGTAAGCATTAATCATATAAATTCACATATGTAAACCCATTAGCTTTTTGTGCTATTAAATCATAGTTATCTTTGTGCAGTAAAGGAAATCAAGTACTAATCCACAGCTTGGTGGCAATAAAGTTACTATCCTCGGGTAAAAAGTGACAAGCCCAAATATAGAGGCAAAAATTAAAAAGTAACATTGAAAAAAAAGTTCGTCGTGAAAAAAAGTCAGGGTATTAACTACAGATGATTCTTTTTAAAATTAAAGTTTAATTCAATTTTCGCTAGTAAAATTTAATCATATATAAATTAATGATTTTAAAAAAATGAAAAAAAGATTTTAAATATTCCTTTTCTGGTCATTCACTAGTTCGTCTAATTAAAACGAAGCAAAAATCATTTTGTTTTCATCTTGAATCATTTAAAGCCATATATGGCGTATGTACAATGAAAAGTATTAGACTACAAGTTTGACTTTCCAGAAAGCCTGAAATGTCATCTCTTTGGCTTTGTTAATTTCTCAGAATAAACGGTGGAATGTAATTTTTTTCTCAGTTATAACAGATTTTTCTATATCATTCCTCTAGGGAAGGGGAGTGGCATTTTATCTGAACAATATTATATAAAGAAAAAAGAGTAAAAATCCTATGTTGTGGATAGGAAGGAAATATTTTAACAAATTTAATTTGGGAAACTGTATATTTATTGCGCACAAAATAATGCGCTGCTTCTCCGTTTATTTCTCCATGTTCTTCAAAATTTCAACTCAAAAAATATTACTAACTGTGTGATCCTAACATATTTAAAAAAAAAAAAAAACAAAACATTCCTTATTATTATTGTTAATAGCCCTCCTGGCCCTGAAAGTGAGATGATCGAAAAAAAAAATTGTTGCAAGATAAAAAATAATTCGGTCTAACGCGCTTCGTGCAGATGTCGACTTTGAGAGTTTAAGTTCACCGTCTTTGCATTTGAAAGAATTTAGCCAGAACCAAGCTAAAATTTTTGTGCGCAATAAATATACAGTTTCTTCAATGGGTGGCACTGTAGCTCTCCGGTCTGTCAATATATTTTTTCGGAGAGCTACAGTACGTTCTGCAGCTAAGAAAATGATTGCAAGTTCTTTAATTATAAACATGAAATTAAACTCCTTTAATAAAAAGAATAGATTAGACATGCAAAAAATATAATACTTCTTTGTGTTCTTTAATTTTCCAATGTCCGTAGTTTCTTATGGACCTTAATGTATCCGTTTATATACTGTGTAACATGTGCTTTTAATTTCTGAGGGTTCAGGCTTTACTCTTATACATTTGATTGCTTAATCAAACTTAAATGTATTATTTTTTAAGAAATTACAACAAGTATATGGAATGACTAATAAAAAAAAATTAAAGTTGTTTTCGCTATCAATCCATATCAGTAAATGCGATTACTTATGTCATTGTTTGTCATTTTAAATTTGATGTTGTTTTTCTGTGAATTCTTGGATCCATGCGTCGGCCGCAGAGGATCTTTACACACGCCCTGACCTAGTTAAAAAATTCCATCGAGTACACACCATCATTTACGTTTATAGCCGAGAAGACTTAACCATGTTAACATGAGAACATACAGTGCATGCAACATGTATATTTGAAGAACCCTCACCACACAGGCTCTTTTGTGTGTCTGACTCTTTATGATGCACAGATGTTTTTATTTCCTCAATAATAAGCATAGGCGTCGGAAAGGGGGGGGGGGGCTTAGCCCCCCCCCCCCACACACACTTTTTCCCAAATATATAGTAAGTATAGACATTGAACATATCTTCGTAGGTTTAGCCCCCCACTTTCCAGAGATACGTCTTAGTATAGGTTAAAAATGGGGGAAGTGGTGTTGTTTGGAAAAAAAAAAATGGTACTGAAGTTCCTAACCCCCCCCCCCCCCCCCCCACGAAATAGGATTTCCGTGTTTGGGAAATGGACATTTTTCCTCTTCCTTGTCAGGTTTTTTTGAAGGTACAAAAAAATTTTTTTATTACACTTAGCCCCCCCCCCCTTTCAATTTGCTTCAGACGCCAATGACAAGGCAGATCATCTAGTCTCGTTCAACCAGACGCTCGGCTGTCTCCGTAAACTCCGACCAGCAGAGACCTCTGGGTGGTTGGAGATTTACGGAGACAGCCGAGGGTCTGGTTGAACGAGACTACAGATCATCTCGATCTATATTTAGAAAATCGCATCATCATCAAACTGACCATGCAGTCGGTAATCCTCGGGCGGCCTATCACTTTTTGTATGGAGCGTAGTGGAGTCAGCCGAGGATTGCCGATGGATAAATGGCAGCTTACACTGTGACTTCACATCCGGAAATCAAACTTAATGTGTCATCTCTCGTGAGAGATGACAAAAATTATAAGAACTTATTATTTGTATCATTACTTTATATAAAGATAGAACTTTTCCTAAATTACAAAATATAAAGATATCAAAATTTAATTTGGATTCTTGGAATTTTCTCCGACGTGGAAGAAAATACAAAAGATTTAAATAACACATTTCGGAGAAGATAAAATTGTATTATTAGATGAAATGAGGTGTTCTCCATGCTGCGAATTGTATGAAAAGCTTTAATTTAAATGTATTAACTATATTTCTTTACTTAATTTTGTATGTTTCAAAAGTGTATTTTTTTAATCAGTTACGCCATATAATTATGGTTTTAAATGGTAAAAACACTACATCATTGCATGACACTTATCATTGAGCTGATTAAGTGAATGTATATAATTTAATAATGAGATATCTGTGAGGCATATATGTACATGCAAATATTGCTATATTAAACAAAGGAAAGGGGGGAATTCAAATTAGGGAAAAAAGCCTAAATCAGTCTGGTAGTACTGCAAAATGGATGCAGTTGTGGAGATTTATGGATAAAGGAGCATGCTGTCTGGAATATTTCCATATAGGGAATTTAAGAGCAAATAAGAGTGAAAATACCAGTGGTGCTTCTCATTGTATTACATGTGTATTTTAAAATTCCTAATAGCCCAAGGGGATTCCTCAGTGCAGAAAACCACTAGCCCCATCCTCAAAAATGGAAGCCCCGGGTGTCGTGCGATGCTAATTACACACCCATCATGTGATATAGTTATAGTAGCCCTATATTAATTTCAGTATTGTTTTAAATTAATTAAAACAAATGCCAAAAACATTAATTAAAAAAAAATCAAAATAAATCAGACACTCAAAATCAAAATCAAAGACAGAAAGAAGCACTGTTTTGACTGAACGTTTTTCAGTAATACAATGCATCTCTTACATATCAGATGAGATAATCTTACATACAATTATTTAGTTGTTGTCAATTATCCCATTTATCATCATCTCAGCTCACTTTGCGCTTTTAATACTGTCTACATGAACCGATATTTTACAGCTGATTTATGAACACACGATTGTTAAAATTTTCATGTCCCTTTCCAATATATTGTCAGAACATACTTAGTTGGTTATGATATAAACTTAAATAATTAACACTTTCGATTTATTAAAGATTATCTAACAATATACGATCATTTACTAAATACTTCTCGAGAGAGTTAAAAAGACAGAGAAAATTCAAAATACATACGTAAGTGCAACTTAGGATTAATTGTTCCGATATATCTATTTTAATTTTGTGCACAATTGTTTTCAAAATTACATTAAAATCAATTTTCCTTAAACAAGAACCCAGCAATAGATAAATATTAATCGAATTAACTTACCTTTCCTCTTGTCAATCAGACAATCTTGTTGACATTAAGTGTTTCTTAATCGCCATATTTTTTTCCATGAAAACAAACGTTGTTATGATCAGGATGAACGGAAGTTGATTTTCGGAACTCTCGAGAATTTAGAGTTCCGAATGTAAAACTGAAACACAAAACACGGTGCGTCCGTGAAAGCAACTTTTTTGGACACTTTTTTGGACAAATCGTCGTGTCCAAGTTTTGTTGGGTACTAACCTGCAAATACCCAATTAGGGTGTTTTAAGCATATTCAGCGACACTTCTTATTGGGTATACCCAATAAGCAAAAAGTACCCAATAAGTACAATCTTGGCATGAAAAATACCCAATAAATGCACTCTCGTAAACACGGACAGACAGACGGACGCCGGACAAAATGTGATCAGAAAAGCTCACTTGAGCCTTCGGCTCAGGTGAGCTAAAAAAGCAAACCCAAATGCTGTACTCACTTGATGGGGCCCCACATGGGGTCATTGTCCTCCAGGAAGATGTAAGGATCCTCTTTGTATCCGTGCAGTCTCCGAGACACCTGTTTAGACGGTTTGGGGCTGTAAAACAGGAGAATTACAGTGACAGAATTAACAGATCTCATATTTTATTCTGAGGAAAAACTGGGGTCATCAATTTCTGGTATAATTATGCAATGCATGTAGTTAGCTGAACACACACAATTCTTTTTCTTTAATAAGCTAAATGCCAAATGGTACAAGCAGACAAACATGCTAACAATTGTAGACACAGAACATTTTACTTTGTGGGACGATTTATAAATGCAATTTAGTAATGCAATTTAGCAGATTGTCTATGAGTTGGATAGTAGTAAATAATTTGCTGTTGACTAAATTAGACAAACAAGAGTAGTCTGTAACTAGATCTCTCATTGCTGATAAGCAAACATGGCTTACTTTAGATCTTCCTCCTCCTCTGCCAACCTCTTCTTCGTTCCCCCGTCTTCCGTCTCCATCCCTGGAGGATTACTGTCCTCAGTCGTCGCCTCCTTTGTCTCCCCGCCATTTGTCGTACTCGTCTCTACTGTCTGGTTTGGTTCTTTCTGTTCTGAAAGAATTTTAAAAAACATATTTCTGAGTGATGTAAATGAATTGTTTTGAACTTTTCTCTTACCCAAATTTACAAATTAATGGATAATGACTTTTCCTATAACCTGTGTTTGCTGGTGTTTTTTTCTGTTGCCATGGTACTGTAGAATTTTTCTTTAAGACTGCAATGAAGAACCCTCCAGTGTCCTGCTGATGGGGTAAAACTCTCATACTGAAACAGATAGAATGGTAGCTTCTTCATATTGAACAGAAAATGATGTTCTGCTTAAGTTCTTCTTGTATTTGGATTCTCTGTTTCTTTTTAAAATGTTCTTGATAAAAATGACATTCTGTCTGTGCTGACAAAACATGACAAGTTTATCAAGTCTTTTTTCTTTAGCACTGGTAACTAATCCTAAAGCCATGTAAAGATTTAGGATCTACTTTGAGTGCAACTTTACTGTAAACTAATATGTTGACGGTGTGACCGTTAGGGTGAGCGCAGATACTTATTCAGTTTTCATTTAGATCGGGCTCGTCAAACAGCATGTGACATTCGATGTGTCTAGACTCTGATGACATAGGACGTATGCATGTTCTTCACCAAACTGCAGCCTGAACAGGGGTGATTTTAATGAAGAATCATTTCATTTACTATTTTCCTGCAATAAAGTCATTAAATCAAGGCAAGTTTATTATTCATTTAACTTTTGTTGTCATTCTTGCGAGAACATTGGTTTAGATTTTGTGTACGAAGCGATGCATTGTGAGTCCAAATTACTGCGGAAAAAAATTCTATTCAATGAATGTGCAGAAGTCCGAATTTTTTCTATCAAATTCATTTACATCCAAGACCCAATATTAAGAATATTGAATCACTGCATTACTAATGTTCAAGCTGTTCTGTTTAGAGCAGTTTTTATGTATTGTTGAATTGTTCATGTGTGATACAAGTTTCTGATTTTCCCAAAACTTACAAAAGTTTAGAGTCAGATTTAAGCTCACCATTTCATGTTGCACTTTGTACAAATCCTTACACCCAAGAAATGTTGTTAGGATCTACTTGAGGTGCATGTCAACAATAAGAAAATATAATCATAGCAATGAAACAGCATCTGATGCAAACAATGAGTCATATTTTCATAATTTTTATGCTACTGTAGATCACTTTATTTTCACGACACCTTATTTTCCCGAGATAGCTTTGAGATATTTATAAGCCACACAAAATTTTGGAGAGCTATTGGTTTTGTTGTATGTAATTCTAGCTGAAACAAATATACACAAGAATGTATTGTAATTTTTGAAGACTTGACTAATTACCGGTACGCAAAAATTAAGTTCTGGTAAATAAAAAGTGATTTACGGTACGTTATCTTTTTATCTACATGTACATATGCAAGATCAGTCCTAAAAACCTAAATACTTCTACTCACACTTCTAATCTATCTTAATTAATTATTTTTAAAAATCATAAATTTGTTACATTCCACTGATACACTGGAATTCCTTCAACTCTTTTCAATATTCTGCTGCTTTTTCTCATGGTGGGTAATAAATACAAATAGCTTATTTACAGGTTGTTTATCACATTCACATCGTAATAAATCTGGTTTTTTAGCCAATGGTGTCACATGTCTTCAAATTTACTATAATATTCCTTACTAACAAATGCAGAATATAACTGTTCTTTCTGTGAGTGTCTAGAAAATAGTTCAGAGTATTCCCTTTTCTAATGAAATTCACTGTTGGTATCTTAAGTGATTACATGTCTGTGAAAGTTGTACCTAGAATTCATTTGAGTTCCAGGTAAAATTAACCTCACTGTTTAATATAGCACCCTGTACAAATTCTAAAACCAAGAAATTGCTTTAGAATCTACTTGTAGTGCCTCCATAAAAGAAATGGCTTTCTAAAATGAAAACATCATCTTTAAATTCTTCATATTTAATATTCTTTAGGTCAATAAATCAGTAGATTATTGTTCACTTATAAGAATTTTGACCACACAGTGATATACATTTCCTTTTTTTTTTATTTATACAAAATCTTAATCACAACTAAAAGTGAATGGGATTAGGCAGCAGGTAAAGCCTATTTTAGCCCTCTCCCTTAAGATACATTTCCTTTAATTTTACAAAAGATACAAAGCCATCAGATAATGTAAAGGGACATAACTTTAATGATTAAACATTACAATCTGTGATTACATATTTAAGAAAAAATCTTCCCTACCACAGGACTACAGAAAATGGGGGGGGGGCTACCATCAATAGAATTTTTTATTGAATTTATTTCTTGAATACAGGGACCTTCAACAATTCATCTGTTCTGAAATTTTGATAGTGATTGTAATGTTATACAACAGTGTTGGCAGTGACTTTCCAAATCAAACAAGCAGGGTAAGAAGATATATATAAAATGAGTACCATGGATACATGTTAAAAAAAAAAAAAAAAAAAAAGCCAGTGGAAAAACATAAAAAAAATCAATTCATCCCCAAAGGATAGAAAAGATTTTTTTAGCGTTCTGGGTCTGGTAGATATATTTCTAGAATTACATACTTAATAAGACATTTGAAAATGAGACACAATTAACATTAAGGAACAAATCATTACCATCTGTGTAGGTTTAATTTTTCACTCTCCTCCTTTGTAGGGGGGAACATGGAGGGTTGGAAGTGAGTGTAATTAGATAGAGACTCATAGTCACTAAAGAATTGACTGCCATCCTTAGTCATCATCTGTAAACAGAGAGTAAATGTGTAGTTAGACACTGACTCAAAATCACTGAAAAACTGACTGCCATCCTAAGTCATCATCTGTAAACCAAGAGTATGCTGAATTCAAAGAGCAAGAGCCACTTTGGGCTTTATTTGGCCTTGAGAATTTCTGAAAAATCAAAACCGCTAAGTTTAGGTTGCAGATGCAGTATTTATTACTTGGAGTGTTGGTGACCACGTATCTATTAATCATGACGTAATTTTCCATCTAGTCAAAGCATTATGACGTCATAAAATGCGTCATTTTCCTCAAATCTTGTAAATTCCTTTGAAAATGACCTAAAGTTGAAGCATTTTCTCAATATTTCATATAGAGCACAACCTCTGATCCAAAATATGCAAATACATAACGAAAGCTCTGTTTCCAAAGATCAAAAAACAAGTTTTATTTTTTGGATCATGGGCTGTGCTCATATTTTAATTCTTTGGTGAAGGTAGTCAAATACGCATGTTTTCTGCAAATTTCAAGAACATTGCAATTTCTCAAACCTGTTTTCCAATATCTGGATTCTCAAAAAGAAATTTTGTAGTAGGAAATGGAAGCACCAAGTGTCTACTTTATTTTGATATATGAAATGAGAAAAAGGGCAATAGTTAATTAATTGATATAAGTACAGGGCCATTTTATGCATAAAATGGCTCTTGCTCTTTTTTGTTTCTTGTAATGTCATTTTTATAGTTAGCTTACTTCTGACACAAAGGGTTTTTGACCTTATTTTCAGAGGTATTTGCAATCTGACCTTATTTTCAGAGGTATTAATTGCAAAAAAATAGAGGTGATGTTAAAATATTTACATATATGTACATGTACATAAGAGATATCAAACTCATTGATTTCTGTTCAACATTTAATATTTCATCAAACCATTTTCGGAATTTTAAAAATGTATCAGCAGACAGACATATGGACAAACTTTTCAAATGTATCAGTAGATGAACAGACAGACATATGCACACAATCTTCTGTCCAGTATGAGATCTCTGATTCAGTCCTTCATGGTGACAGTACCTACCTTCCATTGTGAAATTCCTGGTGTATATTTGAGATTCTTAATTTCCTCACTTACATCCACCAGTTCAACTGAACCTGATTAAAACAACAAGGAAAGGTTAGATTCAGAAGCTAACATTAACTTTTATACTGCACTTCATAGCTTTAAGCAGTTACAATTCTTAAGAATTTTAATAACTATTTATAAAATGTAGAAATCACCTTCACACCATTACTGCTGTATGAAGGGAAATTTTTTTCCCCCATTCACCCTACTCACAGGTGGGCAATTTTGAAGAACACAGTAAAATATTTAAAAACAGAACTGTGACCAGATGAATTTAAAATGGGGCAAATATTGTTTACAAGTGAAATATGGCAAAAATAACAAGGGGCAAAAATATCCATGTATACATCAGTATCTAATGTATAACTCACCTTCACACTTTTGTAACATGCCAGCAATCACGGCTTCGTCTTCCACTGGGTTGAGGGAACACGTGGAGTACACCAGACGACCTCCGACCTCCAGCAGGTCAAGGCCTCGCTTCAAGATCTTGGCCTGAATTCTGGAAGTTCATTTTATATACTATCACTCTAACTTGTAAAGTGTTTATTTCATTAAAAGCATCATGAAATGTCTTGACATTTGTCACTGAAGCTTGTCTTTACTAGTCCACAAAACACTGTTTATTCAGTATTTCTGTTCTGATTTACCCATGTAAGTTGATTCCTTGATTTGGTGTCCATTTTGTCCAGATGTCCTGATTTTTTCTCAGAGTTCCGTCTCCACTACAAGGGACGTCACACAAAATACGATCATACTTCACAAACTCACGAGGGCCATCCTGTCAACAATTCACACAGATTAACCAAAAAATTTAGTGAACCAAAATTAAGAGTTTAATTAAGAACCATTTACATGTATGTTACATCATTCAAAGATTCTGAAAAGCAAATAAATGACCAATGACTTACCCCATATCTGAGATTAGGCAGATAAGAGGCATCATGGTTAATGATGGCACAGCATGGACTGTTTAATCTTTTGACCTGATGAGTCATCAAGTAGCAACGTTTATTGTCCACATCATTGGCAACCACGTAACCCTCTGAAAATAAAAGATATATGCCTTTCCATGGTTTTTTCAATAACAAAAAACAAAGCCAACTATGAAAAATTCTTAATCCTTTGTACATTCTCAGTTAAATGTTTGTGTACCTGGCAATTCATTGTCTGGTGTGTTGTGGAGATACTCAATCAGCTGAGCTGTTTTAGAACCAGGAGCAGCGCACATGTCTAGAACCTAGAAACATTAAACTAATTAAATGTATTTAAAAATATGTTTAAAACAGGTCTTAATTTACATTTGAATATAACTTTGAATAACTCTTCATCTTTCTATTGACTCATAAGATTAATGTTACCATATGTTGATTTTTATAGATTTGAATTTAGTGTGATTTTTTAAAATACACCTAAGACCCCTCTACCTTGTGATGTGGCTTGACGTCCATCAACATTGGGGGTATCATTGACACTGCTTCTTGTCGGCTTATACTGCCCTAAATCAGAAACAATTTTACATCAGAAAAGTCAGAAAATAAACTATACATTCATTGTTGGCTAATACTGCTCTAAATCATGAAAACTTCACATACTTCACATAAGAAAAGTCAGACAATGAATCACACAATCAATAGCTTATAAGAGACCGAACAATGTCAGTAGAGGAAGACTTACACTTTCAGTTTCCTGAAGAAGAAATGTCTTCAATTTTTCAAACCTTGCATCTTTCCGGACCTCCTGTCTGGAAGAATTCAACTGCCATCCTAGCTCATCTGGATACCTGATTTAAGATTTTGATGGAATTTTAATTTTAGAGTCTTAAAAAACGATTCAATCGTTTTTGAAAATAAAGCTCTATAGTTAGAGTATGTATAATACTCTTTCTTAGTCAACTTCCTTACCATGGCAAACACACAACTTTCGGCTTGTCACTCAATGACTTCTCTTCTAAAAGCTTTCCGATGTATTCTGTTTTTACCAACTTTTTCAACTCTTCTGTTTCCCTGGAATAAATATAACCCATACTGACTAAAAGAACAAGAGGCCCAGGGGCCACATCGCTCACCTGAGCAATTTGCTAGGAAAAAGCACATATCAGATCAGAACTGAGTTGGGGGGGGGGGGGGCTTGAATTTTAACCACCCAGGGGGTCATGGTATGAATAAACTAGAATCTACATTACCTGAGGATGATTCCATATAAATATCACTAAGCATGGATTTGAAGTACTTGAAAAAAGGATTTTAAAAGGTTTCCCTATACATATTCCTATGTAAAACTTTGATCGGCCATTTTGGCCCCACCCTACCCCCGGGGTTCATGATTTGAACAAACTTAAATCTACATTACCTGAGGATAATTTCAAATGAGTTTCATCTTTCCTGTCTCAATGGTTCTTGAGAAGAAGATTTTTATAGATTTTTCCTATATATTCCTATGTAAAACTTTGATTTAGGCCATTTTGGCCCCACCCTAGCCCCGGGGGTCATGATTTGAACAAATTTGAATCTACACTACCTGAGGATGATTCCACATGAGTTTCATCTTTCCTGGCCCACTGGTTCTTGAGGAGAAGATTTTTTAAAAATGCCATTAATTTTTCTCTAATTCATAATTATCTCCCCTTGGAAAAGGGTGTGGCCCTTCATTTGAACAAATTTGAATCCCCTTCAGCCAAGGATACTTTGTAGCAAGTTTGGTTGAAATTGGCCCAGTGGTTCTTGAGAAGAAGATGAAAATGTGAAAAGTTTACAACGTCGACAACGACGACAACGACAACAGACAACGGACAAATTTTGATCAGAAAAGCTCACTTGAGCCTTTGGCTCAGGTGAGCTAATGAGTCACAATAAGGCCTGTCTGTGGATCCTGCATGTTACTCATCAAATGTTGAACATTTAATAATTTTTACAATGAAAGGTGTTAAATATTGTCTTTTGTTTTTTGATATGTGACATAATTCTAAGATGCTCTGTATCTCTATGTATCTGTATGTGTACGGCACAGGATCCTTTTAGGCTTTAATGCTTTATTTACAAATACTTTAATATCTATATACCATGGTAATAAAAATAATACTCTTTCCTGACGTCTAATCTGTAAAAAAAAAAAATGGACAGGGCAAAAAAGGGACAATGCTACTAAAGTTGAGTGTTTCTTTCAGTGTTTTTGAAAAGACAACAAATCTGTCATCTAAAGAATTCAAATATGACACTCACCCACCAAAGCTTGTGATTCTAAAGGTGATTGGCAGAGGCTCCCGAAGGGAATTCATAAAGGCATCCCATTCCTCTTCAGGGACAATTCCAAGTTCCTATTAATAGAAATAGTACATCAGTATTCTTGAACACAGTTTATTTAAAGTTTTTTTTTCACACAAAATTTTATATATCAATATTATTATACATTTTTTAGAATTCAGCAAAGAAATATATATGTTTTTATATACTCTTTTAATATGTATTATCGACAAAATTGACAACAGTGAAGGACAGACAGACAACAGACATCCTTCCATCAGAATATCTCACTTAGCCTCCAGTTTGGTTATAGAAAGTGATGTCATTGTCCACATATCTCACATGGTTTGAAGAAGTAGATGATCAGATGCAAGTTAAATATAATTAGCACAAAGCAATGAATAAACAATTGTGCTTGCCTACATTTTCTCACTGCTAGCAAATTAAAATCTTACTTTATAATACTTCTCAAACAGCTTGTTTTCTTTCACAGCTGATTGATATCCTTTCTGAAAAAGATAATAAACAGAAACACTTAAATAATAAAAAAAAAAAAGATATTATATTCAAATTATCACCTAATTTTTTTAATTGAATTTTTTATCATTAGATCTATTTTAAACTGTTGTGGTAAGATCTGCAGTTCCATGGTTGACATAATTCAGTGGGATGACTGGGATCATTCTACAATAAAGTGTGATGTGAAAGATTAATTTACCCCATCTCTTTCCCGTTTGTTTTTATTTGGCCTTGGTCGCCTTCTACCCATAATGTCTAATGACGGGATACTAATGAGTAAAAAACAGTTCGTCACATCAGGCGTACTGCATGGTAATCATGAATGATAAAAGCAAGCTGCAAACAGTGAAACACATGTGGGATTTTAAACCGGAAGCAAAAACATAAATTCAAAAACCAAAAACGGTTTTCTTTTTATAAAAAAAATCTCAAGAATACTTCGGTTACATATAAAATATTATTATGTATTTATTTATTTATTTCGATTATTGCTCTAAATAAGGGGAAATAAATGGCATTAGGAGAATATATATATTTAGTATAACAATTTACGTATACTCGGAAATATTGGTACTCTTCATGAAACTCAGAATTTAGGATCATAAAGTCATTTCCTGTGCAATTTTTGCAGATTTTTCTTACAAAACATTTCAAACGATGTGAAATAGAGACAAATGCAATGTGAAGGCAAAAGATTTAGTAAGTTTATGCTGTCTACCATGTTCCTTGGTTTATAATTACATGAGCTATTTTTGAAATTTAAGATGCATAGCTGTGTACATGCAGTGGTAACAGGTCCAGCATAATCTCATTATACAGGTTATAGGTTAGGACCACTCGCCCAGATGGGATTTTATTGTTTGTTTGGGATTTATTTTGGCAATAGATATCGTAGATAGAACGTTCTATCATTAAAATGATATTATCCTGCGGACCCGGTTTTAACGATAGAATTCGTTCAGTGTATTCGTAATGTAGCAAAAGAAACACGGGCGATAACTCGTACTCAGTGCATTTACTACGAGCAATCCAGAGAGTTCGGATGTAAACTTGGCAGGTAAATTTTAAGCAAGAGAAAAACATTGAGAAAATTAATTGGATTTTCATCTTTACATGGATTATTTTTGGGGATAAAAGGCATATATGCAATCTCAAAAAGGTTTGTTTTGATTAATTTGGTAGTCATTTCCAGTGCAAATCCTTTTATATTCGTCAAAATCATTACAGAGCGGATCCGCACTGATTTGCTACATTGCAAATATATTAGACGTATTCTAACTGTAGTGAGGGCTTGTTCCGAGACACAGTTAGATAATTCTAAGTATAAATATCGTAAATCTGCATCACTTAAAAAGGAATAATATGTTGACGGTGCGAGCGCAATCTCTTCTGTTAATTTACTTTAGATCGGGCTCGTCAAACCGCACGTGACATTTGGTGTGTCTATAGACTCTGACATCACATGACATCCTATGTAAGTTGCAATACCAAGAAAAAACCTGAATAGTGCTGAAAGTTAAGGAAGAACGTTTCATTTACTATTTATCTTCAATATGTATCCATTAAATCAAGGCTAGTAAACTTTTTGTTGAACATTTGTTGTTATTCTCGCAAGAACCTAGCGAAAACAAGTGATGCATTGTGGGTCCAAATTACTGTGTAAAAAAATTCTATCGAATGAATGTGCAGAAGTCCGAATTTTCTCTTCACACAGGCGTTGCTTTAAGAGCTCGCAGTGATTAGCGTCACTTCGTGACGCTCGCTGCGCTTGCTATTAACTTTTGACAAGTTTTGTGCAATCCTATTTGTTAGATTGATCCCCAAGAAGTAAAGGAATTTCTGAGGGATATAAATGGAATAGTGCATAATGAAAAAAGTGCTTACTATAATTCCACAAAAATCAGGTAGATACAATAGATGAAGTAAAATGGTTGGTTTTGAAGCATTCTTGAATTTGACTGTTGCAGTATCTTTGGCATTTGATTATAGATTTTCAGCATGCAAAAAATGGCGTCATAAACGCATTTGTTTACAAAAAGTGTGGAGTTTCCTGAAAGTGACAGAGTTAGGGGGTTGGTGACACATATTGCAATACAGTTAGCTCGTACATCAAACTGCATGTGACATTTGATGCATCTAGACTCTGACATCACATGGTGTCATACGTAAGTTGCATTACCAAACCGAAGCCTGGGCAGTGATGATTTTAAAGGGGATAGTTTTATTGACAATATATTAACAATGCACAGCCTTGCTGCGCTCGCTTTTAAAGTGTTGTGCTTCACCATTAGACGGTGCACATACATCAGACTCTGACAACTATTTTGGCATTGTACATCCAAATCATAACAGGTTTTAACATGTTAAAAGGTAGAGTGCATATCTGAATATCAGCAAGTAACAATATCACACTGTACTGGTTAGTAAACAAGATGCTACTAGGTAAACCCTCCACTGTGCATGTTGTCTCCAACATGAATATATATGTATCTCTTTGAGAATCCACCAAATTCTCATAGTATTGAATTTGTAAGTAAATTAAATATTTATGCACCCCTTTGAAGAAGGGAGGGCATACTGCTTTGCTGCTGTCTGTCTGTCCACTATCAGTTTATGTTCATTTTCTTTGCAGAGGATGCGAATGTTGAAATGAAATTTGGTATACAGATCATAAGAATTTTTAGGTCAAGTTCTGTTTTGAATACAATATTGAGCTATTTTGGACTGAGTTATGCCCCTTGGACTTAGAAAAATTCCAATTATTTGCAGTTTCCATTAATTTTCTTTGCAGAGGTTCCACATATTGAAATGAAATTTGGTATACATTTATTTAATCATAAGAATGTGTAGGTCAAGTTCTGTTTTGGGTACATTTCGAGCCACTTTGGACAGAGTAATGCACCTTACACATAGAAAAATTCCAATTATTTATAGGGAGCATAAGTGTTTTATGAACATCTCTTGTTAAATTAGATGTTGTAAGTTCATCACAAATTTTATTTTATTTGTTATCATGTTTATTGTTTATTTTTGTAGTGTAAAGAGAATGGAGTACAACCCAGTAATACTTGATCTTCACATATGTGGAGCCTGCAGAAAAGAATTTAATGCATACGAAAAATTCATCAAACATAAAGAAGAATGTGTTGTTTTGGCAGAGCTAAAAAAACAAAGAACATTGTCAATAAAACCAACTCAGACACCATCAATTCAACATACTCTTGCTGCTGAAAGTAAAAATGAAATCCCAAGAGAATGTTTACAAACAGAAAGTACTGGAAATGTATTGTTAAAACCACCAGTGGAATCATTTGTATATCACCAAAATCAGCTGCCTACAAGTGTGACTTCAACAATAAATACTTCCTTACAGTCTCAAGCATCTGTCAGTAACGTCCAGGTACCTGTGCAATCAGGTCCACCAGTTTTAAGGGGAAATTATATTGTAACATCAGGAAGCAACAATGTTGATACTCCACAACATATCATAGGTGAATCCATTCTTCATTCCCAGTCTGTACAAAAGCCACGGCATTCAGACAGTGCTCTTAACATTGACATTTTAGCAAAGCTACAGAATGAACCAATCAGCAGTGGGAATCTGGTGACCACACCTGTGGGACATGAGTATGCTAGGCAGTCTGTGGAGGGGGGTAAGTGTAAGGGCCGTGGGCTGTCAATAGTCGACCAGTTAGTGTCAGAGATGAAAATACTTGAAATAAAAAGAAAGGCAGTTGAACTTCAGTATCTTAAACATCAGTTTGATGGAGAATACCATGGATTTGTTGAAGTTTTTTGAAGTCCCAGCCACTCATTCTTTAAGCATTTTACCGGATATCTCTAAGTTTCTTCTTGGTCCAACCGAGTTTGAGATGACATTGTTTGAATGTACCACATGAATATCAATATTGTTTCATTTGAATAAACCATGAACCTAAAAGCAGTAGGCTAGAATGTTAATTTTTTCTTTATAACAACAGGTGAAGAGACAAATAGTGCTCAGCCAGTGTGTCAGATTGTAACGACAGAAAATGAGAGGTACCTGGTCATCTCCAACACTGGCCAGGGAGATATCTGTATCCCCATCACCACCGACATCTCAGACGTCCTGACAATGCTTCAGTATTCCAACAAGGACTCCACCAATCAGGGTAACCATTCTGTACCTTCATAGTATACTTCTGTATGCTAGACAATTTGTCCCTAAGACAACTCACTACCAGTCAAAGACAACTCATCCCTATTTAGAACAACTTGTTTTTGTGATTCCTTCATACATATAATACATGTTTTATGTATTTTGATAAATAAATTATCCCTACCCCAAAGCATTTTTTTGTGAAGAAACGACTTCTGAAAAGTATTTTATTATGTATTTTCTTACTTTTACCAATACTCAATGATATTTTATATCTATTCTAATAATAAATTGTTTGTTATTTCTACTTTGAATCAAAATATTTTTTGACTTTTCAAAGTATTTATTAAAGTATTTGTAAGGTACAATTAAGTAAAACTTAAATTAAGATATGCTAACATTAATTATTAATACAGATTTTCTTTTATAATGTTTAGGAACATCTTTAATGACAAGTCCTCAGAAAGATACACATGGCACAAAGGAAAGACATTCTACAAATCTAGGGGAACAGTCTTTGTGTCATACTGCCCTGCAGAACACCACGCCTCACTTACCTCAAGACTCTACCATAGGCTCAACAAATTATGGACCTTTAACTTCCATACTTGGTCAGACATTGCCAAAACAAGACATAAAATCTCACCATGAGCTAGTGAGAAACACAGAAAAGGTTCAGAGTTCATCACAACCAACCATACAGATGCAGTTGGACCATAATGCATCATTCTCACTCCTGTCTCCCTCTCAAGTGAATTCCAACATCCTCTCTGATCCTTCCCATAATTCCACCCAATCCCAGCATCACTTGCCTCAAGAATCTGTTCAGATTTCAACTGTTGGACTTTCAAATCAACCTCTTCTAAATGAAACTACTGCAGTGACTTTACCACCTTCGGAAGTCAGTTTAAATACAGATCCTTTAGCCACTGATTCTTTCACTCCACTGGCTGTCAATACAGACATTCACAATGTCCAAAAGCTCCCAGACATCCAGCTAACTCCGAACACTGTTCTTACGTCACTAGGCAATTTAAGTAAATATTCCAATGCTGAAAGTGTAGAAGGTATAGGGATACACAGTCTAGATAGCATGTCAAAAGATGCTGATGGACAAGGAAATGACATCATGACCGAGGGATCAGTTCAAAACCTGGAAATGAATAGTGTGGTGTATATGGGAGACAACAGCTTCTCCGTGCATTTCAATACCCTCAACAAGTCTGCTGAAGGCAACCTGTCCACAGAAACTCTCCACCATGATCCACAACTTAGTCACATGGTGGAAAGTGGAGTGACCACAACTTGTCAGACATTGGATGGAGGAGTCAACATGGGGATGAGAAATGGACTTAACATGGAAAACCAGGTGGAAAGTGGAGAAAGCATGCAGGAACAAGTGGAAGGTGGAATAAGAACAAGGAAACAAATGGCTGAAGGTGGCACAAACATAAAGAGCCAGATGCTGGGAGGTGGAGTTAACATGGGGAATCCAGTAATGGATGGTGGAGTGGGGAATCCGATGTTGGAGAATGGAATAAGTCTGATGGATGAGGACGAGGTACAGGAAAGTCAGGTAGTGGAGGAGCTCCACCAGGCTTATCTCAGGACACAACAGAACAAAGGGAAACAACTCAGTCAGCAGCAGTCAGCCAAACAGACAGACAGCACACTGGAGAAGACACAAACAGACAGGTCAACTAAAAAGAACAGACAGACAGACAGGGCACTGGAAAATAAACAGAAGAATTATCGTAGTAAGGATATTGTCAAATTTTCTCTGAAATGTACTTCAAGCACAGTCACTTGTTTCTGTAACAATGTTTTTAACCCATAGTACATTGTATATGAACTAAAAAAATATATCAGAAATGATTGCTTGTGATTTCAAGGTAAAGTTTTACTTATATTATTATAAGTATTTCTTTTGACTTACAAAGAGATTAAAACAAAGTTAATATAAATATATCTATTGCTTACTAGGAAGTTTGATTTAAAAAAAATCATATCATAAGGCTTTGGAATACTTGTTTTTCTATAACAGAGAAGAAATACAACTGCAGTATCCCAGGGTGCACCTTTGTGTCTGCGTACATGAAGGATTTGGAACGTCACCTACGTGTCCACACAGGCGAGAGGCCGTACAGCTGCGAACACTGTAACAAAAGATTCAGTCGAATGGACAAGCTCCGCCTCCATGTCAGGGGCCACACAGGGGAAAAACCATTCAAGTGTGACATCTGTAAGTAATATAATCCTACATATCTGGGGCCACAAGGGGAAAAAAAACATTTAAGTGTGACATCTGTAAGTAATACATGTATAACCTTTCATATCTGGGGCTACATGGGGGAAAACCATTCAAGTGTGACATCTGTAAGTAATATAACCCTCCATGTCAGGGGTCACATAGGGGTAAAACCATTCAAGTGTGACACCTGTAAGTAATATAACTCATCACATCAGGGGTCACACAGGGGTAAAACCATTCTAGTATGAAATCTGAAAGTTATATCAGGGGCCACACAAGGGGAAACTATTCAAATGTGATATGTGTACTTTCATGTCAGTGGCCAAAGAGGGTAAAATCATTCAAGAGTGAAATCTCTGAGTAATGTTTACTTACCTGTTAGGGATGACACAGGGAGAAAACCATTATGGTGTGAAATTTGTTAACTGATGACTATTTCCTGATTAATGTCTAACTTCACCTATTTACTGGTTCTCTGATTTTGATAGGTAACTATAGAGCAGTGGACAATGGCAGTATAAAGAAACACATGGCCATACACAGTGACGACAAGCCTATCAAGTACGAGTCACCGTTCTCATTCCATTACTGTAAACCCACAGCTGTATCTCCACACCTGCTTTTCATCTTAATTAAATTACTGGAGTACTGTAAAGCACAAAAACTATTTTAACTTAATACCGTATAGCGGGTTTTCTTGGCGGGTGTAAAATTTGGCGTTTTGTGTGCTCAGAGGTATTCCAATAATTTTGGCATAATTCATTTTAGCAGACACAGGATTTCAGCTCTTTGCAGATGTACACCATGATGTGTATTTACTATTTTAGGGATTAAAAATTTAGCAGACTACCATCAAAATGCCAAAATAAGCCAAAATTAGCACCTCGCTAAAATAACCTGCTATATGGTAACCCAAGAGGCAAAGACAATGTGCTTACTAAAATTTGATTCTTGCATATATATACATCTAAGTAATCTTTAAGATTATATTGAGCAAAAACCACACTTTGTGAAAGTTTGTCTCACTAATAAAGATTGAATGATTATCTCATGAAAATAAGGTGTCCCTAAAACTGAGTGGCCTAGAGTATAAACATGCAATTACATATAATCTTTGAACTCAAACTTTTCTTTATTTTCAAGATGTTTAAGCTTATACCTTGTCCTTCATTGAAAAATAAGCAATTTTTCCATCTTTGCAAATCATGAAAGTTGTTTTATGATTTATAACCGAAATATAAATAGAACTAGATGAGATCTCGTTGCGAGCAACGAGTAGGTCTTCCGTCCGATTTTTCGATAAGATATGATTTTGACCATGATCTTAGTTAAATCATAATGATATCAAGGCTTCTCTCCTATATTAAATTCTTTTACTTTCTAAGTTATAAAATTATTAAATACATGTTGTTATCATAATGGATGAAAGTCTTTTGGCCCCTAAGGGCCCCGTATTTGAGGAGTCAGACCCTTACTTCCTTTCCAATGATTAAGTTTTTATTTTAAAGATTTTTTGTTCAACAACTATTAATATATTTCTTTTCGTTTTCACGCTATGAAGGAAAGAAAAGTTTAGGGGCCAATCCTTTATATCCTTAATGGGATGTTTTTGCATATATAGAATGGTTGTATAATGTTTAAAAGACAACACTGAGCATCTTTTACTCGATACCGCTTATCAAAATATTTCCCCTTTTGGAGATATAAAGAATCCAAGAATGAGAATTTTGGTCCCTTATGACTCCTTATTAGATAACATAATATCACAATTTTACAATGTATTGATGCAGATTGTAATGATAAACATTTTTCTTCAGTAATTCATAACAAAAATTGATAGATAAAAAGTTATAGATGAAAGTCTTTTGGCCCCTCTTTGCCCTTTATTTGAGGGGTCACACCCCTTTTATTCATATCAAATGAAAGAAAATGTAATTTTGCGCAACTTTTATTATATATCTCTTAACAAATTATTGACAGGTATAAAGATATCAGAGAAAACGTGTTAAATTTTGCGAGATATTTCCGAGCCTGTTTTTCAGCCCAGGCTAGCTTCAACGCCTTTTGTGCTGGAAAGATATAGACTCAAAAAGCAATTCACCAATCCTTCCTCTACCTTCACTGAAAATCTCAAGTCAATATCTCCATTCGTTTTTTAGTGATTGCCCGGACAACCTGACCCTCTGAAAATCAGTAAATCGTCCATATCTCACGACCGGAAGTGACGTCGTACGTATAAAAAAATTTCCAATAAGGTTCAGACCAATATCTATCAGATCTGAAAGTTTCGTGAAAATTGACGGAGCTGTTTCCGAGAACTCGCGTGCACAAAATCGGTAAGAAAAAAAAAGAATAATAATAATAGGGAAAAAGAAACCGAACGAAAACAATAAGGTCTTCCGTTGGAAACGGAAGACCTTAATAATTTGTCAAATGATATTTCATATTAATGAGATGTATGTTAATCATTGTAGATGCCAGACTTGTCCGTATTCTTGTCGTACCAGCAGTCAGTTAGTCGTCCATCTCCGCCGACATACCGGGGACACGCCTTTCTCCTGTCTATACTGTGACTCAAAGTTTAAAATCAAGTCTGACATGAAGCGACACATGCGTACCCACACTGGAGAAAAACCATTCAAATGTGAACAGTGTGATTTCAGCTGCTCGGCCAAAAGTAAGTTTAGTGAGCAATATGAACTTATCTGCTCAGCCAAAAGGAAGTCTAGTTTAGCAATGTGAATTCAGCTGCTCGGCCAAAATTAAGTCTAGTGTAGCAATGAGAATGCAAGTATGGAAAAGTGAATTAAGCTACCATTCCAAAAGTAAGTTTGGCATGGCAATGTGAATTCAGCTGCAAGTCAAGAAGTAGTATACAGGGAAACATGGTTACAACAAAGGGCCAAGGATGGATAATTTTGCCACATTATAAGCATAATTCATTATATCCATTAAATTTATGATTTAAAGCAAAGGGAAATGAAAATCACTTCGCGGTATTCATTATAAGGGTGTTTGCATGTTTTACTGTAAGTGAGATAGAATTTATAACAATCTTATGAAATTTTCTTTTGACAGGTAACCTAGTCAGTCATTACAATGTCCACCACTCCTCCTCAAAGAAAACTTGTGAACATTGTGATTTTTCTACTTCTTCTAAGAAATTATTTTTTGAACACCAGAAAACTCATACAACTCCAGATCCAGAAAATATCTGCAAAGTCTGTCAGTACGTCTGTTCAAACAAGCAAACCCTGAAAACTCACATGGCTAACGCTCATAACTACAAGCTCTATGTTTGTAAGGATTGTAACTTCAGCAGCAAAAGTATGACAAAAGCCAGGTATCATTTCAATAATTGTCGCTTACGTAAGAAATCCTTCAACTCTGATCAGAAAAGATCTAACAAACGTCGGACTCAGAAAAACGATGATCCACAGGGGAGGAAGTATGAGAAGAATTACAAATGTGACGTTTGTCAAGAAAGTTTTGTGAGAAAAGACTCCCTCAACTGTCATCTAAAACTTCACAGAGAGAGAACTCAGTCGACCTTGTCAACGGCGCTGACTGTGCTGGAACTACAACAACCCGTTATAAATAAAACAGCCGTTCCGCGGGATCATAACTACATGGAAGTAGTCAATATCTCTTCCTCCTTTGGAAGCCGAAAGGATGATCACAACTACGAAAAAGAAGATAGCATTTTCTCATCTTTTAGAAATCGAAGAGGGGAAAGCTCATCAGAAAGCAAAAGAAGTAATGGCAGAATTAATGGAAAATCCAGTCGATCTGAATCTCAGCACAGACAGAAATTGACAAAACCAAGCAGCACTGGAGTAACAGGACTGGAAAACTTTGAAAAGTGTAAACCAAGCACAAACACTGCTTTGTCTACATCAAGGATTCCAAACCAGAGCTTGTTTGGTCAGTCTGAGAATCCCAGAAATGTCAATCAGTCCCAGGAAACATCAGATCCGTACCTAACAAGGGCTTCAGAGGCTTTATCTACAGCAGTGCTCAGTTCTAATGAGGCTAGCGAACAAAGTTACAATGTCAATCCAAATCAGGCGGCTGAACTAGCTACCACTACCATTACAAGCTGTGATCCACAAATACAGAATCCTAACATCCAAGTCATTCAGAACATAACGGTGCCAGTGATTCAGTTAGATAATGGACAGTTAGTGGCCATGCAGCAGTTAGGGAATGCCGCGGACCAGGTTTTCTCTCTGACCCCAGTAGCGGTCAATCAGTTAGTGGGTAATTCTGAGACTACTGGTCAAAGTGGTGTCAGCTGTAACATATCTGCTGATGGACTGGTTCAGATATTTTCACCAGATTCTAATTCTTATATCTCAATTCTGCCGCAGTCAGTAATTCAACAAAACCCAAAACAGGCCACTGAAACATTGACTCTAGGTTCTGTACCTCACTTGTCTGAAAACCAAGATCTTGGTTTACAAGGAAACATAGCCCAGTCCATTGTACCGGGGTCACATCAGACATCCCTACATCAAACAAAAGTCCAGTCCACTCCCAGCATACTGACCGACCTCAATACAATGGCTAGTGTCACGGAATCGGCCATATCCTCGGCATACAAACACAAGGCTACCTTAAGGAGCCAGCATTCCTGTGAACAGGAGGACAGTTCTCAGATAGACGTACAGAGCATAGAACTCGATGAGACAAGTTATGATTTTAACCTTCAGGATAGCGATCTGGTTTCCAAGGAGACCATACAGGGTCGACAGCTTGATCTATGAACACTTTATTGTTGTTTAATCTTTATGTGTGATAATTATCTACTTGTTATTTTCAAAAATACATCATGTGTTATTTCTGTAAATGACTGTTGTAAAATTTTATTGATAGCGAGGTGTTGATTCTGCTTATAGATTTGTGCTGCCAATTACATGTACATGTAATTATTTATTTTATCTTACACATGCTGCATGCATGAATTATATATTATGGAATTTTTGAGAATTGAAAGTGACAGACATACACATTGGTCAGTGTGTATCCAGTCTTCTTCATAAACACAATACACCTACAATGTTATTTCAGAATAAGGTATCATTTTTAAACATCTGTCGGAATATAAATAGGGTTGGTCTTGAGATTAAACTTTATGATGAATTTAATCTCGTACCAACCCGTATTTATAGACCGTTAGATGTTTTAAAATGATACCTTATTACTTATTATTACTTATTTATTTATTATTTATTTACATTTGTGACTTAGTCATACTTTGTATTTGTCTGATTGTGACTTTTAACATGTGAAAAACCTTATTTTTCAAACCCAGCAGCATGTATGTAATCCACTGAATGCGCATCGACCAATTGTGACGTCACTGAGAAATTATGTCGAACGTTTAACCATACAGTATTTATACAGTTATAGATAAGCATTGCTTTCAGTAGTGTTATATAAAGGAAAACTTTTGCAAATGTAAATATACATCAATAGCCATTTTTTAAAAGCCTGATTTGTTAGATATGTTATAGACAGATGTATATTGCATATAGAAAGAACTTAATTGAAAAGAAAGCTTTTAATCCACGTTAAAGTTTAATGTGGAATCTCACAGTACAAGGTATGATGAATTTAACTTTTCCTGTTCTGTTAAAGAATTTAGTTTTTTTTAACATATATTTTAGAAAAATTGATGGATTTTTTAATTCGTATTTTTTTGGGGTCAAAATATACAATAAATTTTGATCTTGGTCATAATTTTTAGTGCTTGAAGAAGACAATCTACATGTGATGTAGTTCAGTAAATACACATCTTGAAATGAAGTCATAGTTATTACAATAGAATATTTTTATTTTTGATGGCAGTTGTCTTTCTTCCGATAGAATTGACCTGGGATTCCGTTATTATACCCACAATTACCCTGATTTTTAGTATAGCAAATGTACTTAATTTGAATGAGTTTTGTTTTGAAACAATTATTTAAAATAAAGAGCTCTATTCCCAAAAGATCTAATTAAGTAGGAGAATTTTCAGGAAAAGAAGATATCATTTTCCTCAAAGGGTCTATGACTCTTACAAATCTGTCATAATGACTGCGTTTTCCTCATACTCAATGTATTTATTACCTTAATATCCCAACATTGCATCCAGATTGCTAAAACTTGAAACTTCAAATCAATATTTATTTTTCAACCAGTACAATGATTTATCAAGTCTTTTTTTTTTTTTTTTGCTTTTTTCTTTTATTCAAGACAGCACTCAGTTGATTTTGAATTGCTTTTAATATGTAGCTCACAAATGAACTGAAAGCCGAAGTGAGCTAATGTGATCATCCATTGTCTGTTGTACATCCTTCTGTCTGTAAACTTATCCCATTTTCAACTTCTTTTCAAGAACCATTTTTAATCAAAATTGGTAAAAAGCATTAGTAGGTGAAAGGGAGTTTAGATTACTAAAATGAAGGACCAAGCCCCCTTCTAAGGGGAGATAATCAGGAAAAGAGTGGGGTCATTATAAAATCTTCTTCTCAAGAACCACTGGGCCAGAAAAGCTGAAATTTGTGTGGAAGTATCCTGGGGTAGTGTAGATTATAAATTGTCCACATCATGAACCTGTGAGTAGGGCAGGGCAACAATAGGGAATCAAGGTTTTAGATTGAAATATGTCGAAAAAAAATTTCTCAAGAACCACTAGGGCAGAAAGGCTGAAAATTATGTGGAAGCATCCTGGGGAAATAAAGTATCTAAATAAATTGTTAAAAGCCTTACCCAATGGAGGTAGGGTGGGGCCAAAATAGGGAATCAAAGTTTTATATTTCATCAAAGTTTTACATTGAAATATAAAGGAAAAATATTTAAAAATCTTCTCTAGAACCACTTGGCTAGAAAAACTGAAATATTTAGGGAAAATATTTATAAATTTTCTTTTCATGGACCACTTGGCCAGAAAAGCTGAAACTTTTGTGGAAGTTGTTCAAATCATGACCCCCGGGGGTAGGGTGGGCCACAATAGGTACTAGTATTACAAGGGGGGAATTAGGTGAAGAACTGTATGGCCAAAGTGTTACTCAGGTGAATGTTGTGGCCCATATGCCTCTCTTTTTATGTGTGTGTAATATAACAAGCTGTGACTTTACAATAATTAGATGATTCAGTAATCCAGGAAACTAATCAGCACCTGTACTGATAATGAAGACTGGGATGGTAAAAAATTCCACATTTTCACCGAGAACATATTGAATCTGATTTTCTAATTATAAAATATTATTTGATGTAGCAAAACATTGTAAAAAGTGTGTATTTATGGCACACAAAAAAGATAAGTGTTTCTTGATATACTTCTAAGTATATATTTATAAATATCCTTGATCTCTTTAAATATTCTTTTACTACTTCCAAATCAAAATTAACTGTATGTTCAAGGCAATGTACTAAGTGCAGTGGACCAAATAGTCTTAGCACCCAAGATGGCTGTATAAATAGGCAAAAGAGCAAGAGCCACTTATGGCATTTTTTGGCCCTGAGGTTGTCTGAAAAATCAAAACTGCTCAGTTTAGGCTGAAAATGCACTATTTATCACTTGAACTGTTGGTGACCATGTATCTATTGAACATGGTGTAATTTTCCATCAAGTCTATGCATTATGATGTCATAATGATTGCATCATTTTTTCTCATATCCTGTAAATTCCTTTGAAAATGACCTAAAAGTTGAAATATTTTTTCAATATTTCATATAGAGCACAACCTCTGATCCAAAGTATGCAATCATACAATGAAAGATCTGTTTCTGAAGGTTAATATACATGTTTTAATTTTTGGATCGTTGGCTGTGCTCATATTTTAATTCTTTGCTAAAGGTAGTCAAATACTTGTGTTTTCTGCAATATTCAAGAACATTGCATTCTCTCAAAGCTTGTTTTCCAATACTCAGATTCTCAAAAAGAAATTTTGCTATAGGAAATGAAAGCACCAAGTTTCTACTTTATTTTGATATATATGAAATGGGAAATAGGGTGATGGTTTATTAATTGATATAAGGACAGGGCCATTTTATGCATAAAGTGAACCTAGCTCTTATTTAAGGTCTCAATTTTAGGCCCAGAAGGGCTGTTTATAACAGTTCTGGGAAATGTTTTGTTGTGAAAGTAGTGAGAAAAAAAAAATATGTTTACAGTCGTGAATGCGTGGTTAGTAATATTTTGAGGTGGCATCTTAAATATATGGAGAAACAGCACATTTTGTTCACAATAAATATACCCTTTTCTTCAATGGGTGGCACTGTAACTCTCAGGTTGTCCATCCAAATTTTTTCAGACCAGTGAGCTACAGATCTACAGCTAACAATTTTGTATCTTGAAAAAATATTGAGTATGCTGAAGGTTGTTGATTTTTTGTACCTGTATTGGTAACCTGTGATTTTTGTTTGGAAAATTAATAAATTTTGAGATGGCATGCGTCATTAAAGTGTAATATAACCAACTTTTAAAACTATGTATCTGAGAGCAGATAGGGGAAACAACTGCCTCTCTGATAGAAACGTTAGTCTCTGGACTCTGTTAGAAACTCTCTAGCCTATATCTGGCAGGTTTTGACCTCTGTTTTGAACATGGAATGCAGAGAAAATGAAAAGTATTAAGCTCAATAGTCTATTGAAACAAAACTAATCTGAATTATCAGAGGTGGGATCAGGTGCCATGGAGGAGTAAGTATCCTTTTGCCGAATAGTCACACCCGCTGTGTGCTCCATGTCGTGACTGGGAAAAAACATGGATGTTTTTGTCCTATGCTCTATTCAGTAAATATGGCAGATTTTCTATATAATCAAAGATTCGGTGGAATATAGTGAATGTCCTCTTTTTTCCATCTGTCTGTTCAAAAAACTTCCTTGCCCATAAATTTCGATTGCTTGAAGCTGTGGCATTCATATGGCTAGGGCTTTCATACTTCCGATGTACATGTAACATTTTTATACTTACATACTGAAACATTCCTAAAATAATGTCTTTTACAGAAAAGCAATGCTTTAAATAGTCAAATCAATAAACATGCACCCAATTAATTCCATTTCAGACTTATACAAGACTTTCCAAGGCTAAATCTTAGTGCTTCAATTGTGTTGAAATAGAGAGACTGGTAAATTTAATTCATCATACAATTTTATGTTGAACCTTTCGCTTAAAAACATTGTTAAATGAAAATATTTTAGCACACTATCTCAACACCTTTCTTCAGTACAGTATTTATTACCTCCATCCTGTATAACATAAAGATTCTAGAACCATAAGAAGTAAATCTGTGAATTCAATTTATGTACATGTTATAAAATGTATGTATATATTTTGTCTCTTGCTTTACATTTGTCCCACCAAAATTTAATTTTTGATGTTTCAAAGCTAGGAGCAGTTGCGTGTAGTCAAGCCAAGCGGCGGTGCACAGGCCAAGCTTTGTGATATTAGCCCATGCTGCAGACCAGGGCCTCCAGTCATTAGGTCTTAACTTTACATCAATCTGCCTGAAATTTAATACTTTTTTACGACACTGATCCAGATAGATTAAGCAGGTCTGACATTTCTTGTATTATTTTTTCTTTCAAGATCGCCGAGGGTGTAAATTTATCACCGCCTCAGCGATTTTGTCAATTGGACTATGTATGAATATATGTGCTAAGAAAATTGATGAATTTGTCCTCTCTGTCGTACCTCTCCGGGGCTAGATCAGTTTAAGATTGGCAAGGGAATGAAAACCATTTTATTTCTGATGACTATTGCATTCTTTAATTTGCGCCCGTCTGATTTGATTGAGATCAATCAATTTCTAGGAATAATCTCGCTTGTTTTCCTACATCAAATTCAAATCCAGCCATCTTTCTATATTCCATTGTTGACCACGTGACATTTCCCAGACTTCTATTTCCTGGCGCGAAATGATTCGCAACACTCTAAGAAAATAGTTCCATAAATGCTTTAAAAGTTCTTTACTTTATTCCCATTCTGAATCTGGCTATCATCTTTGAAACATGATAGGGATAAAAGCATGATGAATTATTTCATCTCGTGAAAATAATACTAAGGACGCCAGGGACACTCCATATCGGATTTTGCCAGCAGACGACAAACGTCTT